ATATTGACCTTAAACCAGAGATATTTTAATTAGGGATCTTACCAGAGACATTCAATAAAGAACTGCAATATTTAATTGTGAATATTTTAACAGCGGTTAGAATTGTATTTGCAAAAAATTGGAAAGGAGAGAAGTGAATCACTGATGAAGAAATTATTAAGAAAATGTTGGACTGTGCTGAAATGCGTAGATTGACACTTGAAATAAGAGAACAGGAAGATAAGCAATATTATTTGATATGGGAGCTATTTTACCAATGGGTAGATAATAAAGCATGGGGATGAAATATTATACATGAAATGAAATCTGGATAAAATGTCTAAATATCTGTTTTTTGCTAGAGGAAAGAACATTTGTCATATAATGAGACTTTGAAAAGTCTTTGAGAGCACGAAATGATCTTAACCGATCGAAGCACTGTCTATGATTGTTTGGAAGGATGATGTTTTTATGTTGTTTTTGTTTAAAAAATAAAAAAACTTTTTGGGAAAAAAAGAGAAATTTACAGAGTCTAAGAGATATTGTGGAAGAGACCACTGTGTAGATCATTCTAGATCAGGGGTGTCAAACTTGCATCGTCACATCATCACGTCGTCACATCGTCATGTTGTCACATTGTCACATCGTCATTTTGTCACATTGTCACATCGTCATGTGATGTATCAGGACATTTTTCCCCTTCACTAAACCAGGCATGGGCATGGCCAGCACATGACACATCCGGCCCACAGGCTGCAAGTTTGACGCCCCTATTCTAGATTCATAGTGATTATATTTATTTATTTTATTTATTTATTTTATTTTATTTTTATACTGCCCTTCTCCTGCGGGACTCAGGGCGGTGTACAGCCAAGATAAAACATAGCATATAAAATTTAAAAACAGTTTAAAAAACAATTAAATAATTTCAGCCTAAAATTTAAAACAACCCAATTAAAACTGAATTCAATTAAAACTGAGAGGATGGGATCAAGCCAGCCCAGCTAGATGGAATAAGTGTGTTTTCAGGACCCGACGAAAAGTCCGGAGGTCTGATATCATGCGTATCTCAGGGGGTAGGTCATTCCAGAGGGCAGGTGCTGCCACAGAGAAGGCTCTCCCCCTGGGGGTCACCAGCTGGCACTGTCTGGCCGACGGCACCCTGAGGAAACCCTCTCTGTGCGAGCGAACCGGTCGGTGGGAGGCTATTGACGGCAGAAGGCGGTCTCGCAGATACCCCGGCCCTAAGCCATGGAGCGCTTTAAAGGTGGTCACCAACACCTTGAAGCGCACCCGGAAGACCACAGGAAGCCAGTGCAGCTCGCGCAGGAGAGGTGTCATATGTGAGCGCCCCGTCCATAGCCCAAGATACTAAAAACAACTTAAAATATTTCAAACTACTTTGCTGAGTTTAAAAAAATGAGAACAAGATTACTGTGACTCACTGTTAGCTGATATAAGTGCTTATTTTATGGATGGATTTTGATGGTTTCTATTGCAGATCCTTTTGAGTCACATGTGGCATAACTAAGTTTAATGTAAACTTTGATTATTTAGTAATTGATAGAAACTTACAGATTGTGAGCTCCTAATACTACCACCCAAAAGCATTGAGTATTTATTCTGTCTCTTCAACTCTATTAGATTCTTCTCTGGGAAAAAAATAATTTAAAATGTGGTAGTAAGAAACAGGGAAATTACAAATTAAAAGGATGACAACATGAATGGCACAATAAAAATCTGATAAGCATATGATGACTCAGATCTAAATATGTGAAATCTACTGAAAGAGATTATGAGATGAGATTCAGGATCTGATATATGATGTATAATGCAGTAAGACACAAAGAAATTTACATGTTCAAATTACTGCATAATTGTGGATATCTTTTCAGTGATGTTTCTCATTTGCATGTACAGTTGGAAAAGGCCATTGCAAATATTTGAGATTTGCAGAATTGTCCAGATATCTTGCACCAAGAGCCTTGGTGGTGCAGCAGACTAAAGCACTGTTAAGTAACACCAGCTGGCTGCAATTACTGCAAGTTCAAATCTCACCAGGCTCAAGGTTGACTCAGCCTTCCATCCTTTCGAGGTAGGTAAAATGAGCACCCGGTTTGTGGGGGCAATAAGCTGACTTTGTATAAAAAAGAACACCACTTTGGGGGGGGGGGGAAAGCCCTACTAAGCAGGTATATACAAAAGTATGAAGGCTATTGCTTAACGCATTGTAAGCCGCTCTGAGTCTCCGGAAAAGGGCGGCATATAAATCGAACCAAAAAATTAATAAATTCAGAGTTTAGAAGCTGAAATAAAAGTTTTGAAGCTATTTGTATCTGTATTTTGAATAGGAGGAAAAGCACATTAGTTTATGCTAAAAGTCAGAAGTCTGGGAGCACTTTTTTAGATTAGCAAATTTTATCAATAACATAAGCTTTCATGAACTAGAATTCACAAAAAATATGATTTAATAAAATATGTTCAATTGAAAGGTGTTACCATATTCCTTTTGATTTCTGCATTTTCAATATGTTTCTTGTTCACCAAATTTGAAAATGGATACAACTGATCTTGTAAGTATTTATTTTTTTTATACAAAATAGACTTAATAACTTGTCAATGCTCAAATATTAACTATCACTCAACATTATATATTAAATGATACCATTATGATGGTAATTATCATAACATACCAATCATAAATATATTGTAATATTATTGATTGCTATACAAATGTATATACTGCCTACTTCAATGTTTCTGGCTTGGTTAAAAAATATTTTTTTCCTTCCTACGTAATTTGACTCAGTCAACCCTGATATGGAATACCACTGGCTTTCAGAATATTTTCTAATACACCCAAATTTATTTGGGTATTACACGAATAGGGTAATTCTGATAATCTTGTATGATTATCCAATTTGCCCCTAAATTCCATATCAGCATAATTTTTCAGCTACATTGTGGATGCAGTTGAAACTCTTTGGCAACAATTCTTTGTCCCAAAATAATGAAATTTAAGTGTTCAAGCACATTGTATGTTCAGATTCAGTCCCCAAAATGTTCCTGATCTATGGGTAAAAACTGATGCTTTTTCATTCCCTTAGATAGGAATGAATGAAAACACAACATAAAGCATTCAACCAATATCCATTGTAAGAAGTATTAATGAAAGAACCCAATGCCTTGATTTATTTATTTATCATGAAAGAGTATGCTTTTATTTCTTTTTTTTTAGCTGCACTTGTAGAGTTCCAAGGTAGATATCTAATGTGCTAACCTTGTTTCTGAAAAACACAATTGAAATACACTATTGGTGCTCTGAGCCTTGAAAAAATATCACCAGACAAGAATTATTACCCAGCGGTATTAAATGATACCACATTTTTTTATGTATTGTGTGATTTTTGTATTAACTTGCTATGTAAGACAATAGTTATCTAATTGGATTTTAATTTACAACTTCTTTACTGTTATTAAACAAGAAATGCAAGGCTTCTTTTTAAAAATTAATGTTTATAACACACATATACATATCTGAGACTGCTGATTTGATGCAGTTAAAACTAGTTTGTGGCTAATTCTTAAAAATTTCTTTAAACGTTCGATCTTAACCTTTTCCATTATTGATACATTAGCAATTGCTGATGTTTTATATATTTATTTATTTATTTATTTATGTAGTTAGTTAGTTAGTTAATTAGTTAGTTAGTTAGTTAGTTTGTCAAACATGTACGAGATAACAGATATAAGTATAAACATGGACATGAGCACATGAAATGAATACAAATAAATGGGGACAGTAGGACAGGGATGGTAGGCATACTGGCGCACTTATGCACGTCCCCTTACAGACCTCTTAGGAATGGTGTGAGGTCCACGGTAGTCAGTTTAAGGTTGAAGCTATGGGGGTTTGAGGAAGTAACAACGGAGCCATGTAGAGCATTCCAGGCATTGATCACTCTATTGCTGAAGTCGTATTTTCTGCAATTGACTTTGGACTGGTTTACCATGAATTTCTATCTATTATTTGCCCATGTATTATTGCGGTTGAAACTGAAGTAGTCATTGACAGGTAGAACATTATAGCAGACAATTTTGTGTACTATGCTTAGATCAGACTGTAGCAGCATAGTTCAAGCTTGTCCAAGCCCAAAATTTCAAGCCTGGTGGTATAAGGGACTCTATTGTGAACAGAGAAGTGGAGTACTCTTCTCATGAAATATCTCTGGACTCGCTCAATTGTATTAGTGTCTGATATACAGTGTAGATTCAAGGCAGACGAGCTGTATTCGAGGATTGGTCTGGCAAAGATTTTGTATGCCCTACTTAGTAATACAGTGTTATCAGAGAAGAAGCTTTGCAAAATTAGGTTAACAACTCTTAATGCCATTTTGGCAATGTTTGCTAACTAAGAACTTTATATTTACAGCGGTAGTAAAGAAGAATTACTTGTTAAACCATTGCCCCACAAACATTAAATCTGCAATCCTTAAAAAAGGCCGCATAGATGCTATAGAGAGCTCCAATGTCCCAACATCAAGTTGTCTCTATTGTCCTCTTAGAACACTTCTGCAGTCTTTCTTCCCCAAATTCAGACATCAAATATAAGAAGGGGAAGGAGGAAGAAGAAAGATCAGTAATTGGCATAGCTGGATAGTGAATAGAACAAGTCTCCACAATCTGCTGCTATGACTCCAACCTGAAACAAATTCAGATTTTTATAAAGAGCATGGGAGAGGCAGAACTAGAAGGTAATATATTTTCAGAAGAATCCACCAGATGCTTCTAAGCAATCTACTAACTAGGCTTTCTTTCTCCGCCAGATTTCAAGACTGTTTATATATGTGCACAAATATGTTTGAAGCCACAGCAAGTAGCTACACCCTGCTGGTCTTGGCTGATCTTAAAAATCTGAGCAGAGGGAGAGCTGTTTAGTCCCTGGATCACCAGACAACTCCAAGGTTATATACCAGACTGAGAAATCAGGAAAAAAAAAAGACAAGAGCGGCAGATTATATATTTGTCATTGTTATTAAAACTTTATGAATACATCGATATCATACTCAGAAGTCAAACCTGACTCTAAATAGGCTCAGCTTTCATGCGTGAATTCTATTGGCTGGAGATATATTGAAGCTATAATCTGATAGGTTAGTGCAGTGTACACTATTTGTGAAAATTTAAGGTTTGGATTGGTTTGATTTTTGTTTTGTTTTGTTTATTGACAAGTTACAATCAAATATTAAAGAAATTTGTTACCCAGCCTAAGACTCATTAGACATAGATGCCCAATGTTAAACACATATGTTTTGAAAGTAAAAAGTGAGTATTTAATTTGTGTAAAAGATCTGGATAAATAGAAAGCTCTTTCTGGTCATTTTCGTCCAGATTTCATTCAGCAGAAACGCCCAAAAAAGAATCTGAAAAAGATGTTAGATTTCAAAAGAAATCTCAATTCCAAGTTGTTTAAAGCATGAAAAATTAAAACCCACAGGTTTGTTCAAAACATATGAAAGGCTGTTTTCAAAAGTTCATTAGCGCTTACCATGAAATGTTAAGGCTGTCAGGTGCTCCAAAAAGCACAGTGGAACTGCTACAAAGGTTTCCTCAGGTGTTCTGCACATATGTGTACATGCCCAATCATTTCATTCCACTTAGAACCAGAATTCTTATCTTTATGTATAATGACACACACTTGTGGGTACAACCTGGGAAAGCCTTTAAAGCAGACATGGTGAACCCAACCGGCCAGAGTTACCCTGTGGTAAGAAGGGTGGCCAATAAATTTGATACATAAAATTAAAATAAACCATCCAGAGGCAGCAATGGCCTCAGCACTTCATTTGCACCAACACACTTTGTGAAATATTTGGCACCATATTGAAACTCAATAAGGCAAGTTAGTTGAGAGTCAGTTCATGCAATAGAGCCAGACATAAAACAGATAGTTTCACCAACTACGTTGCTTGAACTATTTTTATAGTCAGCATTGCATACAGGCAGCCTTGAACAGTAAGCCAAACAGGGGATGGACAATAATGGTATCCAGTTGTCCAATCCATGCCATGTCCTTCTGACATATAATTTCTGTCCAGGGATTCCAGTAACTACATTAACCTGAATATTTTTCAAAATGATTTAAAAAAAAAAAAAAAAGTTGGTTTGAATTCTGAGTGGTTTCAACAACCTATTAAGAAAAGCAGAAAACCCTATAGCCTCTGGATGCTCCTCCTACTTCATGTCCTTGACTTACAGCAGTTCATTTAGTGACCGTTGAAATTTACAACAGCACTGAAAAAAGTGAATTATGACTGTTTTTCACATTTACAACCATTGCAGCATCCCCATGGTCACATGATCAAAATTCAGATCCTTGGCAACTGGCGTGTATCTATGATGGTTGCAATGTCCCAGGGTCGTGTGATCACCTTTTGTGATCTTCTCACATGGAAAGTCAACTGGGAAGCCAGTTTCACTTAACAACCGTGTCACTAACTTAATGACTGCAGTGATTCATTTATCAACAATGGCAAGAAAAGTCCTAAAATAAGTGTAAAAACTGGAACTGAATTTTAAAAAAAACCCTTTTGAGAAGTCGTTTTTGTTTCAAAACAAAACCAAGCAGACAATATTCAAGCACTTGTTGTGACAATGGCTAAGTAGGAATTTTGACAGTATAATTCAAAGACTGTCTCCAAAATAGCTCAAAGATTACCAAATAGATAAAAAATATACCAAAAAAGCTTTGGTCACTGCACTCCACAGCTAAAACAGCTCAACTAAAATAACAAACATGTAAGCGGGCTTCTTTATCAGGCTGAAAGCCTTTTTTTAGTAACAACCAAACATTTATTCTGTCTCCAGTTACTCATCTTGGGACTTCCTAGCCCCATAAGGAAAGTGCTACTCTCTTTATGCTGCTTCTTTTCATATTCTACTAAACCGGTAATTGCCTGCTTGCATTATACATTTCCCTATGTATTTCACTCCAGAAGTGCACTTAATATTTTCATTAAAATCAATAAAGCCAAGAAATGACAAGGATTCAGGTGAATACAAACAATTAAATTCTTCCTGGGTGTACTGTTAACTGTTAGTGGGGGAGAAAATAGGGAAGGTCTAATCCACACCTGTCTGTCCCCTTCTTTTTCAATAGCAGCTAACCGAAATCCACTTAGCTGGCTTTTGTCTGCTTATGTCCCTGACAGATAATGTGTAGAAATCAGACGTTCTAGGGCCAGTAATTCAGAATTAATTTTCCTTTCAGTGGAGTGATGTGGACAACTGAGTATAGTAATGGTACCTGATCAGAATTCAGGGGATAAACAAGGCAATTTGAGATAATGACATAGAAATAAGGGCTCTTTAAAAGGTTTGTTCGCTGCGTGACTCTGGATGGTGTTATCACTGGTGCTTTTCATCTGCCTGAAATGAAAGTCAAAAGAGTTAATCATTAATGCATTAGCCTGATGTATTTGTGTGAGTGTGTGTGTGTGTGTGTGTCTGTGTGTGTCTGTGTGGGCTGGAGTGAGTGTGTGTATTGTGTTGTGCTTTGGAGTTGAAAGGAGAACTGTATATCTCATCCTTTCCCTTGATATTAAAATATATAAATAAAGAGTCCACAAAAGAAGCCATTAAGCTACCCAGTAATTATTTATTAAGGGTTTTCTTCAGAAAAGATTCCCTTCTATGGAATAGAAATTATTTTGGTTTTGGTATGGAGCAGTAGCAGTAATTTTTTAAATTTATTTCCTGCCTTCGTTGCTTTTAACTCAAAGCAGCCAGCACACATAATGCTATTTTCCCCACAACAACCACCTTGTGAGATGAGTTGACAGGGAAAGAAAGTGATAGACCAAAGGCACTCAGTTGGCTATCATGCCAAAGGTGGGACTAGAACTCACAGTCTCCTGGTTTCTAGCCTGGTGCCTTAATCACTCGATCAAACTGGCTCTCAAGTAATCTAATGTAGCAAATCTGAAGTAGAAACATAAACACTTTTCAGTTTGAACAAAACCTATGTTCCACTCCTTTGGCCCACTGATCCCTAAAAAGTTACACACTTTGTCTTGGGTTGTGAAGTCTTTGTCAAGGTTGCAGTCTGTACCAGCAACAGCCCTGTGGAGTAGGATCAGAAAAGACAAGATGGTGGTTGTGACCATCCAATTGAAGCTCCACCCCTTTTCTAGATTCATCACACAAAACAATGGAGGTGGAGCTTTGCTCAAGCAGTCATAACTGCCATCTTGATTTTTCTGACCACACTTGAAGGCACTACTATTCTGTATTTCTGAATGATTTCTGAATAATGTAAATACATTATTCTGCAATTCATTTGTGAGCAATAAATCTCAACACAAAAAGCCATTTATATTCATGTTGGTTTATATCTGTGGGTGGCTGGGTGCCCATACATGTGACCATATGTATCTCTTTCCACATTTTTGAATGGTATTCCTCAATTTACAAATTTTCATTTAGTAAATATTCGATGTTACAACAGCACTAAAAAAGTGACTTATGGCCATTTTTTCACACTTACAACCATTCCAGCATCTCCATAGCCACATGATTAAAATTCAGTTGCTTGGCAACTGGATCATATTTATGACAATTGTTATATCCCAAGGTCACATGATCACTTTGTGACCTGACAAGCAAAGTCAATGGGGAAGCCAGATTCACCTAATGTTCGTGTAACTAACTTAACAACTGTAGTGATTCACTTAAGAACTGTGGCAAGGAAGGTCTTAAAATGGGGCAAAACTCACTCAACAACTGTCTCACTCAGCAGCAGAAATTTTGGACTCAGTTGTGGTCATAAATTGAGGACTACCTCGAGTAAATGCCTCTGTCCAAAAAAAGATAATTATAAGCTAGGATGATAGGTACAGTGATCACATTTGCTTGTAAAAGAATAAAGGACAAACCTAAATCTAAACTTTAAAAGGGCTAAATTGGAAAGAGATTCACCAAGATTTAAAAAAAAAAGTGAATGAAGGCAAAAGGAAGTGTTTATGTTTATCACTTTGCCTTTCAAAAGAAAATTCAAGAACCAAACCAAGAAATAGGTTAATTAAACAAATTTAAAGGACATATTTCTGAAATGAAGGATTGTTCTTTATATTAAAAGGCATATGAGTACTGTAATGACAGGTGGCATCTCCCGGAAAGAGGCATGGAGCCACTTTATCAGCATGTCTTCTGTAATTGAAGGTTTTGTGACAGGCCATATTTAACAGGGGTGCCATTTTGGGAACAGATGATCCTCTTGCTTGTGATAGTACCCACAACCTGCTCTCAAATCCCGAATTCCATCAGCCGAAGGATCTGCCTATTTCTGACTTATTTAGTGAGAGACAAAGAAGCAACTGTGACACCCAACTAACAAACTATACAAAATTCTGCTCTTATCCTTCTGGAGGTTTTTCAGGTTAATTGTGTGGCGCTTTTTAAAAATTCAAGCAAAGTTCTCTGCAGACTAGACAAGTTAGTTTCATGCAAAGTTTGTGCAAATTCGAGAAGTGAAGGCATTGCTTTAAAAAGACAAGCTTCAACTATAAAAGCATTTGGCATGTTTCATCCCTTCAGAAGACAGTAAAACAATGCAAATTGTGACAAAAGAAGCTCTCTCTTTTGTAACCATGGCCAATGGTACATGTGACTGCATATATGTCCGTGCTGCCTACCACTGCTTGTAACCATGTTTACTTGCAATATGAAGTATTTTCTGAAAATTCATCTTTGTGTGTGCTAGATCTGGAAGTGCACATGAGCAAAGATGTATCTAGGTGGAGTTGTGGCAACTCTGCTTCACAATCTCCAATTACAAGTCCTTATGACTACAATTGAGCCCAAAATTGCCATCGCTAAGCAAGACAGGTAAGTGAGTTTTGCCCCATTTTATAACCTCTCTTGCCAGACATATTAAATGAATCATAACAATTGTTAAGTTAGTAGCACAGTTGTTAAGTGAATCTGGCTTCCCCATTGACTCTGCTTGTCAGAAAGTTACAAAAACTGGTCACATGACTCCCGACCTTACAACCATCATAAATACATGCCAGCTGCCAAGCATCTTAATTTTGATCACATGACCATGGGAATGCTGCAACAGTTGTAAGTGTAAAAACAGTGAAAGGTTTCAGGGCCATTTTAACTTGGAATGGTCACTAAATGAATGGTTGTAAATCAAGGATTACCTGTACTTTTGTATCATATGTAAGAAAAAAAAACCTGTGAGGGAAGCAAAGAACATCCATTCCCATGATTCCTAGCAAGTATGTCAGGCTGGAAATTGCACATGTTGAAGGCCGGTCCATCAGGAGGGGTCAGACGGCGGGAAGGATTGAGGAAGGCTGAAAAGATCTCACCTGACAGGGAAAGAAAGCCCCAGGCCAAAAGTGCATCCTGAAGCATGATGGTTTGGAATCTGTTAATAAAGCAGTAATACAATCATTGTACAATTGGCATTGTTATTAATGAGATCAACTTCTTCATTACATGTTCTTCCTCTTTGGGGTTAGTAGTTTTTAATAAGTTCAACTCATTCGGAGAAATAAAAGACACACGATTTGAAGCAGTGAAGATGATTAAATTTTGGGTCAGAGCACAAAGCATGTGTCAAGAGTTCAGAATCATTTCAGAAAATTTTCACCCGCATAAATTACTGCAGAATCCGGCCCCCACAGTATGTGTGAAGATCATGTGATGTGGTTGCTATAGTAACGGCTTATTCTTGTTGAAATCTAGGGTAACTACGGCTGCTAAACCCTGCATCTTCTGACAGCAATTTATTTAACCTTGCTTCTTTCATATTCTCTTATTGACTCACTGAACTTAAAAAAAAAAAAAGGAGAAATGCTTATTCTGTAAAATAGACTTTAATTTATTAAGCGGAGCTCTGTGGACTATTTCTTGTTCCCAGTTTAATAGATACAAGCATTTAAATTATTTTATGGTTCTTTTAATTCAACGCCTGTCTGTAGAAACATGGATAATTATCCACCTTCCTTTTCCCCGGGCCATCCAAATTGCTTCCCAACAGCATCAAAATATTTATCCACTATTACAACATTCTCCTCAAGATGATGGCAGTGAATTATAAGGCTGTATTCTCAGTCATGGGCCTGTCTCCTTAAGAGCAGTTAAGCTAAAGTAATTAAATAGCTCAAAGATGAAATTAGACATAAAACTTTAGTAATAAGGCAGAAAAAGAAATGGAAAATGAAAGCAATTCAGTGGCATTTTTGATCAAGCAACAATCCCAATTGAATATAAAACATTTCTGCCACCTAAATAACATCCATAACATTGAAGGCATATTTGTAACATGTTTAATGTCCTGCATTGCTGTCAGTCTATTATAAATGGGCAAACACAATGTACCCACATTTTCAATAGACAAGACTAGGAAGATTTAAAATGTACAGTTGGTTCTTCAATAAATGTCCTCAATATTTAAGCAATATTTCTTTTTCCTCCCCAGAAATGCTTATTCTGAAAGAATATCCTCTTTCTCTCCAAGATGGGGAAGAAAGATGTGAAAATTGAGAGCTCTTTCACATGAGAAGCGCATGCTTGCTCATTTTAAGAAAATTGACATCATGAATACTCAGTGAATGGAGAATCTTCACGCCAATCTATTAACTGCAGGAAATATGTGAACTTTACCTAATATGTAACATGAGAGAATCAAGCCAATCTACATGCCACATCTAAGAAAGCACTTTTCTAAACATATTTCCATATTTTTCAGAGTATAAGATGCACTTTTGAAAATTTGGTTGCATCTTATACTCCGAATGTAACCCCGCGTGCGGTGCCCAAAATGTCTACCTGAAACAGCTGCTGTCTTCTCTTACCCCTTCCGCGCTTGGGCTGCTTTAGTCACTGGAGCTCCCTCCAAAGATCAGCTATGCTTTTGAAGCTGTTTTTCAGCCCCAACGCAAGTGAAGCGATCTTCCGTGCTTTGCCTGATTTTCTAATTGCTGTCCCTCCGACAATCAGCTGTGCTTTAGAAGCTGTTTTTTAGCCCCAACCAATCCCAACCTCAAAACTAGCGAGTGAATTAATGTACTGAAGATGACCAGGCTAAGGACTAGCCAGATGAATACCTGGTAGGCAGAATTTTTTGCCCCCTATTTTCCTCCCCAAAAACTAAGGTGTATCTCATACTCTGGTGCATCTTATACTCCACAAAATATGGTACATACAGAAGACCAACTTTTATAAGAATGTTCTTTTTTTAACTTTACAATTGCATGACAGAATTTGGAAGAGTATAAAATATTAAGGATACAGTCTAAATTATACCTGCATCCACAGAGTTGTCAAGACACATAAGAATGAAAAAAGAGCAAATTCTTCATACATCCCTAGTTCCAGCAGGTTAATATAAAGGGGAAGCACAAACATGTCACAGTGACAACTTATTTTCTGCTGGAGTTCTATGGCCCTACCTTCATTCCATTTCATTTTTAGTCCAGCAATGAGTGAAACTGAGTTAAGTCATCCTTACCTGTATCAGTGTTACTATAGCCTTTTTTAAAATCCTAGTACCATCTAAGGACAGCCTCAAGTGGTATAAAACTATTAGAGGTTGTCACTTATTACCGTGGAAGGGAAATCAGGAAACTTTACTAATTTGAAACAGGCAAATAGATATAAAATAGAGATCAACAACCAGGAGAGTAAACTTAGTGCCAGATTTTTTTTCCCCAACTCATAGATAGGTGGTTAGCACTTCAAGCTCAGCAGTGGTTAAAGGTGCTAAATCTTTCCTGCATTAACCTACCAAGTTGGCTTTTAATTTCTGCCCCATTAAAATATTTCAATGTTTCTTTCCCATTCAAAAATCCTCTGTTTGCAATGTTAGGAATTTGTTCCATTGCTGATCTAGGCATGATAGATTACTATAATCCGACTGCTGGAATTTACTCTTTGGTAAGAGACACACTGTAATATAGATAATGGATATAATCAGGATATAATTCTCAAGCAGCATGACAAATCATATTAAGCAAAATGTACTGTTTGGTTCATCACTGATACTGCTGTGCCAATTATGGAAACAGTGAGAATGCTGGGTACAATCCAGCAGGAATTTCCTCTGTGTGTGGCTCATTCAAATAAACAAATTTATAGATAAACCATGGTCTGATATACTAGGATTAAAGATTCTGCTTCGGGTGTGGAATTTAAACCACAGGTAGGACAAATAAAAATATCACTGGTTCCAACTATCTATGGGTTGGGTTAATCCACAAAATGACACTATTGTGAGGCTCAGTCTTCCAAATAGCCCCCTTTCATTTCCTTTGAACCACTGAAGTATGTCACTGATTGGCACTAAGGAAATAAACTAGTGTGAGAAGCCATGCTGGCTACAAATTTGGGGATTTGATATTGAGGATCATAATCTGTATTGCCATTTTCCATATAAAGCCTATCCTGCTCATAGAGTAAGGATACAAAAGGTATGGTACCTGAGCATACCTGAGCATGCAGCTCAATAGTATACTGGGATTCCTATGGAATGTCCCTTTGGTTGGGCGGAATAGAAAGAACATTGTGATGGAAGACTGGCAAAAGGGACCAGTTATGTCAGTAACGTCAGATGTAATCCAAACAATAGCAATAGCACATAGACACCACTTCACAGTACTTTTACAGCCCTTTCTAAGTGGCTTACAGAGTCAGCATATTGCCTCCAATAATCTGGGTCCTCACTTTACCCACCTTGGAAGGATGGAATCAACCTTGAGCCTGGGGAGATTCGATCTGCCAAATTGCAGTCAGCCGGCAGTCAGCAGAAGTAACCTGCAGTACTGCATTCTAACCACTGCGCCACCGTGGCTCTACTACTGCGCCACCGCAGCTCTACTAGCAATGCTCTAAGCATTGATCTGACTGCCATTTTAATTTCTCACAATTCCTCCAATATAGATGCTTTAAGACACTGCCTTTCTTAAATGGTATCTAAAATTTACTAACAGCAACCAATACTTTTCTGTGTGGCAAAACCTAACATCTTGAATTGTGGAAATGTAAAAAAACAAGCTTCTGGCTGTTTCTTTTTCTAAAAGGTAAAGGAAGATAGTTGCTGAATTAGTAAATTTTAGTTTAGTAGTAAATTTTATCTATTCAGCTTCCACATTATAACAAGCTTATAAAAAGCTTTCTCTTTCCTTACTCCAGTTTCAGGTTTTTAAGAACATGAAAACATGCTTAAAGTTTAATTTATCTATCATTTTAGATATTATAACTAATATTCTTTATGTAACTAGTCATTTTACTTACTTTTTTCTAAATAAATATTTACTAGTGATTGTTCTTAACATTGACCACCTGGGCTGATAGTAGTTTTAATTGTTCATTTTACTGATACTTTTGTACTTATTGTTGTTAGCAATTTTTGGCACAATATATGCAAATGTGTAATATGATTAAAAATATGTCAATTATTATCTAAAGTCTGATGCACCCTGATAGCTGTATCTGGCTTCAAGGCAAAGTTTTTTTATATATATCAAAAAATGCTGTTAACTTTTTCCAGCTATCAGTTCAAAAGTTCTTATGCTGCCTAATGAAATTAGCAAGGCATTTATTTGCACCTCTAACCTTCGGCAGAACTTCAAATAAATACATTGGATTTTCCAAGAAAATGTCTTTGTAGGTCTGCTCAATTCCATTAGACAGTGTGAAACCATGCATTCTAGCTGTATACAATGGTAACAGAATAGGAACTGCTTTTGAACATACTGCAGATGGGTAAGAAAATCAATAGAAAGTGAGAGAAAGCTTCAAGCGATATAGATTGTTTGAACTACTTATCATTATGTCAAATTCACTTTAACATCAGCAAACAGACACACTGTAAGATTAATGTCGAGACCACCATTTCTATTGCTTTCATTTAAAAGCTGAAGATTACATAGATTTTGATAATTAGGGAAATATTTAATAGTCCACTGTTGAGTTTTTAGTTAATCTTTAACAGTGTAAACATGTCCTACTCAGAAGTAACCTGATTGGGCTGTGTAGAAATTACTTGAGGTAAATATATAAGATTGCAGCTTTGCAATCAGATCCATTTCTGATTCCCTCCGGCTTAATGCATTGAAATAGAACCTTGTTTGAATGCATAGATATTCAAATGTCCATGTCTCCCTTTCTTAACCCTTGGGTATATTGATCATGACTTGTAAAAACCTTCATCCTGGTAAGCATCTACCGGTAGAACAGGGGTCTCAAACTCAATCATCATGAGTGCCGCATGAAGGCAAGTTCATTACCCCAAGGCCACAAGACGGAAACCTTTTCATACATATGGATACAAAAGCCTCTAGTGAATTAAAAATGAAGAAAATGAAGTATATCACAGTATGCCATTAAATTTAAATAACTTTTTTTAAAAACATACTGAGAAACAGTGCTAGTTGTGAAAGAGCTGTAAAACAGACATTTTACCTTTAGCTGGCAGTATTTGGCATTAACCCGAAACACCAACATTTGATTTCATTGCTCTACATTGAAATGTAATATTTTTTCAAGAATGTATCTAGGATGACATAATCTCATTTGAGAAATTTACTTAATTTATTGTGTTTTGATGCAGCCAAATCTGAGGTGACTTCCACCGCAAATTCAAATAATCATTAAAATATCTCCAGTACAATATAAAAT